ACACTCTTTCTCTCTCTCACTCTCTCTCTCATACACACACACACACAGATACACACACATTTCAACAAGGCCCTGAGGAGGTTTCAATGGGAAGCAAGGATACTGGCAAATTCCAGTCCTATGCTGGGTGTCTAAATAGAATTAATAATGTTCTGGAGCAGAGAGGAAACTGAGTGTGGATGTGGATGAAGATGTTAATGACACACATGGCAAATTTAAATTCATTTGGGATAAATGTAGAGTTATACGCTCGGGTTAGAAAAAAATCAACTTCACCCGGACAAGTTGGGTGAAACAATTCCTTTGAAAAAGGACTTGGGGGGTCAGAGTGGACCACAGATGCAATATAAGTGACCAGCGCGACGAAGCAGCTTGAACAACAACCTAAAGCAGCCTTAGGCTGGCTGGAGAGCTCTAGCAGTCAGCACTTGGGAGGCAGCCTTAGTGTTGTGTTCTGTGTGGCCAGATGACATCAGAGCTAACGCTGAGTGTCAGATAGTTGTCCCATTACGGGATGGACTTTGATCAAACTGGAGAGCATCCAAAAGGATGGCCCAGGGCTGGGAGAATGTGCCATACAAGGAACAGTTGGAGGAAGTTGGAGAAGAGAAGACTTGGGCGGTGGTGGAGACTTGAGAGCTGTCTTCACTCATCTGAAGGGAGACATGGAGAAGAGAGAAGAGACTTGGGCTTGGCCTCCAAGGGCAGAGTTAGGGGCAAGGGGTGTAAACTGCACATAGTCAAGTCAAGTCAAGAAGCGTTTATTGCTATGTGCCAGGCACTGTGCTAAGTGCTGGGAATACAAAGACAAGCAGAAAGAACAGTCCCTGCCCTCACAGATTTTCCATTCTAATTGGGGGGGGAGACAATACATAAAAGGAAAATGAAAGGAGGGAAGGTGCCCAGTGCGGGGTATGGTGGATAAAGTCCAGAGTATCGGCCATGGAACCTGGACAGGAAGGAAGATGGGACTGGCCTGGGTGTTTCCCCTATAATGGAGATTCTGAAAGGAACCAGCCAATCAGAGGATGGGGGCACAGGGGTGCTGGGAAATTTCAGGGCAGGTTTTGGATTGGTATAAGGAAAAAAGGAAACCATTTCAGTGGTCCAAGAAAAGAACAGGAAGTAATGAGTAACCCCCTTCCCACCCTCTCACTCCCAGGTCCTGAGGGGGAAGTGGGCTGACCCTACATCTGCATATAGGAAAGAGGATTCTTGTTCAGGGAGACATCAGACTGGATGGGCTCCGTGGTTCTGTCAGCTCATATTCTGGATCTATGAGGGGCAGAGCTGGGGTGCAAGCCTGGGTTCTGGTTTTTTCTATGCCACACTAGCCTCAATCAACCATCAGTCAATCAACTGGTCAATTAGGAAGAGGCCAGACATTGTGGATAGAGCTCTAAGCCTGGATGTTTCCGAAGCTGCCACAGGCACTTAGTAGCGGTATGCCTGTCCTGGAATCTGGCTTCTTCTTGGTCCTGAAAACCCAACAGTTGGAAAGGCTCTGAACAAGGGCTCCTGGAGCTGATTGCTGTTCCGGGGGAGGGTGCAGGGAGAGGGGGAAGAGTCCCTGTGATCTTCAAAGACAACTTTACAGCCACCTCTGCTCATTAGGGAGCTGGGGTCGCCTTCCTGAATAATAACAGCAATTCTACCAGGCTTTAAGATGTGCAAAAATTCCATCCTTAAAACCTATAAAGTCAGAGCTATTATTATCCTGCTCAGGGTCACACAGCTAGAAAGGCAGGATCTGAACCCAGGTCTTCCTCACCCCAGTGTCAGAGCCATAACCACTGACTGCATCACTTAGCTGGGTGAGGAGAGGTTCTGAGCCCCCTTAAGATTTGCCAACTAGATCTGGAAAAAAAAAGACACAAAGCCCTTTTTCATTTTTCTGCTGACATGCAAAGATAAGGGAAGTCTCAGGGGCCCCAGACAACAAGTACATTAACCACCCAGGGACCAATCAGGCCAGTTGGCTTATTGGTAATTTAACAGGGAATGATGTAATGTAAGCAGCACAGCTGTAAGTGGTGATTTTTGTGGTTGGGGCAAATAGCACAAAACAGTGCCCCCCCCCCCCCACCAGGCCACAGCCACAGCCACAGCTTGGAGGTAGGGGCACTACTTCCAGCTTCTTATTTTGATGAATTATTCTTGTCAGTTGCTAAGCTCCCTCCCCCCTTTTTTTCTTCTGAAGAATCAAAGGATCACAGATTTAGAGCTACAAGGGACCTTACAGACCACCCGGTCCAAGCCCCCTTATTTTTTAGGTGAGGAAACAAATTCAGAGAGGTTAATGAAGTTGGCCAAGGTTGCCCAGCCAGCAGTTGTCTCAGGTCTGCCTAACTGTGCCTTCCATCCCGACATCTGGTGCTGTTGGGGACCTCTGCAGTGTGGCACTCCCGGACCTGGCCCCACCCTACTTATATGTCAGACAGCTGGAGGGGCTGCTGCTGCTGGGAACGAATATCTTTTCTTCCCCCGGACTATGGGTACATTCCAACCTTCTCTCCAGCCTCTCACGGATTTGATAACTTTGTGTCTGCAGCATGGAAAGAGAGGCAGTGACTTGTCCAAGGGCTAGTGTGTGTGTGCGTGTGTGCGTGTGTGTGTGTGTGTGTGTGTGTGTGCGCGCATAGGATTCGAACCCAGGACCTCTTGACCCTGGATCCAGTCTTTGCTTGACCACATGACCTCTGAGGTCCTACCCAGCTCTAATAGCCTGTGGTCTAAAGATGGAAGGCGAGGGGTAGGCTGAGAAAAGGGACAACAGCAGAGGGAGAGGAGAGAGAAGGGCGCTGGGGGCAGCAGGGGCCTGGAGGAAGCCAGAGGAGAGGAGAGAAGAGGAGGGAGGACGAGAGGGGGTGAGGCCAGGGACCCCAGGGAGCGGTGCACCAGGCGTCTGGCGGGCATCTGCTCCGGGGGAAGCTCGCGCTGGGTGGGAAAGGCGGGGCGGGGCTGGCCGACAGGAGGGGCGGGGATACGAGGAGAAAAAGAAGAGGAGGAGGGGGAAAAACCCACCTCCCAAACTTCCGGTGTGGTGTGATCGGGGCCAGAGCCGGAGCAGTGGGGCTGGGCTCGGGAAGCTGCTCTCAGGGGCGTCCGTGACCGAGACCGCGCCTGTGACCGTGCTGGCCGCGCTGGGGCCATGGTGAAGATCAGCTTCCAGCCGCCCATGACCGGGCTCAAGCCCGACAAGGAGGCGACCGGCGATGGGGCCAACTCGGAAATCCTCCTGCCGCAGACCCTGGTGAGTCGGGGGGGGCAGTAAGAAAGATGCGCCCCCTCCCACTTAGGGGAGCCCGAAGGTCGGCCGGGTGAGGTGGGGGCTCTTCTTAAAGCCACCCCCTTCAGCGTAGTCTGGGATTGGGCCGGGGGGGGCTTGGGATCTCACCCGCCCGGGCAGACTGAGCTAGGGGGAATTGGTGGGGGAACGGCCTCCAGCCCAACCTGAGCTGGGTGGTGGAGGAAAGGTGAGTAGAGCCTTGGCTGGGACGAGCCCCTAGGAGGAAAGACCATCCCTGCTCCCCCACCTCGCGTGCCCCCCGATTTAGGGGGAGAGAATTGGGGGGAGCTGAGAAAGAGGGATCTGTGCAAAGCCCCTTCCCCCTACGCCGCCTGGCTCGTCGGGGGAGACGGTGCAAGGATGGAGGGATAGGGGGCGGGGGGGGGGCCCCGCCGCTGTCTGCTTTCTTCCCTGGATGGGGTGGGGGTGGGGTTGCCCCTCTTCAGTCGTAGGGTGGGTGGGGGCTATCTCTTGAGTGAAGCCAGGGAGGAGAGGAGCGGGGAGAGGGGGAAGGAAAGGAGAGGAAAGGAGACTGGGGCGGGGGGGGGGGGGGGGTGGGGGGAGGCTTATGTAAGGCGGACTGATCTGAACTTCGTCGGCGCTGGTGGAATGGAAAATGGGGGGCTGCCCGAACAGAGGATAAGATGTGTACATACGGACCGTGCATGCTTTCCTTTGTACCCCGTTACTGTCACCACCCAATCCGTCATCCCTCCATAAATGAGGCACCCTGCTCCTGTGGATTCGTTTCTTAAGGACACGGGTGCTATTCTAGGCAGTTTATCTTCCCTATTGCCCCCAACTGTGCACAGAAAATGTTACAGTGAATATCTTTACAGTGGCTGGCTTTATCTCCCCCTCTCCCCCCTCCCGTTCCTCCTTTACCTCCTCTTCTTCTTAACTAGTGGGGTGTGGAAGGGAAATGTCTTCATCTCAGTGTGGGGGATGGTTCAGGGAGGAAGGAGACTTCTGGACGAAAGGGCCAAGCCCCGAACTCCCAACCACAGCTTCTTGTGCCCCCCGGAAACTTTCTCCACAGATCTTCACAGCCCCGCCTGCCATCCCCTGTTCCCAAGCCCGGTGGTACCGTTCACCATTCCACTAACTGCTTCTGGACTTGCTCAGTAATAATTGGCAAACCTTGAGTTCAGTTCAGCAGGCAGGCATTGGGCCTCTCCTCGGTGCCAGGCACACCAGCTGTCCTGATGTGCCCTGGTGGTGGGACCAGTCAGCTCATCCCTCTTCCCCTCCCCTTCCCTGGGGAGTAGACGGGAGAAGGGCTTCTCCAAAGGGCTCCCTCCCAGGGGCTGGAAGGAGTCAAGATTTTGTAGGAGTAGGAAGGGATTGCCCAGGTTCTCACAAGCATTGCCAGGTCAGTGTAGACGGCTCAGGTACCTGAATTCTGATAATTACTCCCATAATTTTTGCTGTGAACTTGATCACACGTAATGGATCCAAATCCACATTCCCAGGGGACTGTTGATATCCAGGCACATCTGAATGGAATCCTACTCAGGGTAGCTCTGCTAGCTTCCCAGGCCAGGTTCAGCTCTTTGAGTAAAGGTCAGGACTGTGCTCCCTGAGTGAGTCTCAAATGTTCAGGATCTCCAGGGACACCCTGATTGTCTTCCTTCATGTCCTAGGGAGCTGGTGTTCCAGAATTTCCCCAAATCCTGCTTTGGACCCGTTTACAGAGCCAGCTTCAATGCCTGTGTCCAAGCGGCCTGTCTGGTCTCCACTACCTTTCCAATTTTCTTTATCCTATCTAGGGTTGGGTTGGGTAGGGGTGTGTGTGTGTGTGTGTGTGTGTGTGTGTGTGTGTGTGTGTGTGTGTTCGCTTGCTCACTCTCGCATTATTCATTACAAAAGGTATCTTCCCCAGTTGGGCACATTTCCAGACAAATTCCAGCTCTCACCCCCAATAAAGGTAGGATGTGCTCATTGGAGACCCGAGCTCCATTAAGCTTATTTCTGGGAAGATTAAGTGTCGGCAGAATGTTCTCTGACAAGTGGAAAGGAGCCATTTCTGCTCTGGTTTCGTTCCCTTCCTTATGTTAATTTTTAGGCCATCTGTCTCTCAGGAGATCCAATCCAACAGATATCTGTTAAGCACCTACTGTGTGCCAGGGGCTGTGCCGCTCTGGGGGATAGAGAGAAAAAGTCCTTGCCCTCCAGGACCCTTCATTCTGCTAACAGTGATGATAGAACCCATCAACAGGTAAAGAATGTCATTTAAGGGGGGAGAGATCACTGCCACAGATCAGAGCTGGAAGGGGCCCTTGAGGTCATCTGGTCCAACCACCTCCTTCTTAAGTTGGGAATGCTGAGGCCCAGACAGGTTAAGTGATTTGCTCAACATCACACAGGTAGTGTCCAAGCCAGGATTTGAACCTAGGTCCTTCAGATTCTCCAGGTATATAGTGCCTTTCCAACTGTATCACCAGCACTAATGGTCAGGAAGGATTTCTTATTGGGCAGAGGACCTTGAACCTCTGAGGTAGGGATTCTTGGTCGGGTCCTGGACTGGGAATCAGGAAGACCTGAGTCTGAATCCTGCCTTAGACATTGACCCTGGCCAAGCCCTTCTCTTTCAGACTCAGTTTTCTCATCTGTTACATGGGGATAATAAGCTGCTACCTTACAGGGTTGTTGTGAAGCTCAAATGAGATAATCTATGAAGGGTGCTTTGCAAACCTCAAAGCTTTATGTGCTAGCTATTATTATTATTGTTATTCCAAGAGGCGAGGAAGGAGTGCATTCCATGGTTGGAGTATACAGGCAAAGAGGTCAGGTTGGGAGATGGAGTGCTGAGTCTGGGCAACAGCAAATCAGTGAGTTTGCCTGGACTGTTGAGTTTATGAAGGGGGGGTAATGGGAGGTGGTTGGGACACTGAAGGAGACCCCACCATCAGGGTGCTGACTCTCTAACCGGCGTTAATGGTATTGAAATGGAGCTGAGATGTGGTCCCCACTTGATAACTGCTGGAGTGATGGAGGGAGGCTGACTGGAGGAGGTGGGCCTGGGGTGAGAGGAGGGGGCACACCATTCCAAGGTGACTAGGGAGCACAGCCCTTGTGGGACATTGAGGCGGAGAGGCCTAATGTGGTTTTCTCAGATCTGGTCCTCTCTGTCCAACCCCTATCCCCATCCCTAGAGTGGGTCACGGCTCAAATCCTCCCAAGGAGCCATTGGGACGGTGATTAAAAGACACAGGAGGGCTCCCTCTGGCCCAGCCAGGCTGGAGGGCCCAGGGCAGAGTGATCACAGCTGAGGTCTGGCCTCATGACCCTGGCTGGGCAAGGAGCACAAGAGAGGGGCAGCTGGTAGAGCCTGCAGGGTCTCTGTGCTCTGGAGAGGAGGCCTGGCTGGGAGTGTGAGAGGAGGCCTCCCACACCCAGCGAGAGCTGGGCTAGTGGCCTTCGTTCTTTAGGAGAAACAGCCAATGAATGGGGCTTGTGGGGGACCGCCGGAGCGGGGAAGGGGAGGAGGACGCTACCCAGTGGGTCATTCAGTCCGGGGATTTGCTCACAGTGGCAGGATTGGCTTGTCCCACTTCTCAATCCCCCGAGTACCCCGTGGCCAGCAGGCCTGGAGCTCAGTTGCAAGGGGCAGAGAGAGAAAAGCAAAGACAGGAAGCTTCCCAGGATCTGGAGCTGGAGCTGGAGCTGGAGCTGGAGCTGGAAGGGGCCTTAGAGCCCAGGGTTTTAACCTGTGGTCCCCAAATTGTGATTCTGCGCCTCAGCCTCTTCCATGAGGGCCGCGAAGTCAGGGATTTCATCAGTGTTGGGTTACTCCTGGCCCATCTGTGCATCAGAGCAGCCACTTTTAGGGGAGCGTGACACCCCAGGGGATTATGAGGTTATAGATCGCACAGGGACCTTGGCTGTGATCTAGCCTAAGCCCCTGGTTTTACAGATAAGGAAACTGAAGCCATGAGAGATCTCAAGCTTAGAGATGATCTGATCCAAGTGATTTCTTCAGGATTACATAGCTAGTATGTGTGAGTGGAGGATCCAGGCAGGATTGGAACCCGGGTTTTTCTGTACTGGATAGATTTCTCTTCCCCTCCCCCCATACCTGGTACACCAGGTGCCTTTTGGTTTGCCTAATAGTGGACATGTATACAGTACCATAAGGTCTGCAAAGAGATTTATGTAAGATATTTCACTCGTTTCACAATTCTTTGGGGTGGCTACTATAGCTCTCAGGCAGTTAGGTGGCAAAGTGGATAGAGTGTGGGGCCTGAAGTCAGGAAGACTCATTTCCCTGAGTTCAACTCCAGCCTCAGACACTTCCTAACTGTATGACCCTGGGCGAGTCACTTAGCCTTGTTTGCCTCAGTTTCCTTATCTGTCAAAGGAGCTGGAGAAGGAAATGGCCAACCACTCCAGTATCTTTGCCAAGAAGCACTATAGCTATTGAGCTCATGTTGCTTATCAGCTGATCGGCAAACATTCATTTCCTATAACCCTACCCTGTGCTAAGAGCTAGGAATAGAAAGACAGAAAGGAAACGATCTCTTAGGGAGTTTACATTCTATCAGAGGAGACAATTTGTTCACATATGTTGTTGAGTCATTTTTTTTCCTGTCCAACTCTTCTCGACCCCATTTGGGGTTTTCTTGGCAAAGATACTGAAGTGGTTTGCCATTTCCCTCTCCAGCTCATTTGACAGATGAGGAAACTGAGGCCAATAGGGTTAAGTGCCTAAGATCACCCAGCTAGTGAGTGTCTGAGGCCAGATGTGAAGTCAGGTCTTCCTGACTCCAGGCCTGATGTTCTATCTACTGTGCCACCTAAATGCCCCCATTTCACGTGTAAGCATATACAAAAAACTAGGTAAAATTTTTTTTGGGAGGGTGGAATGAAGGCAGGAGGCCCTAGCAGCTAGGAAGGCTTCATGTAAAAGGTAATGTATAGGATGACCTTTGGAATCAGTTAGAGATCAAAGAGGCAGAGGTAAG